GACAAGTAAGTAAGAGATATTGAAGACCACCAACCACAGCTCAAAAATCAGTTGGGTTAGTAAGTGTTTTCCCAAACTGAAGAGTAAGGATGGGAGAGGTGGAAAGCGGAGTGGCGACTGGTCGAGCATCAGACATCTTTGTTCGAGCCAGCAAGTCGAAAATGTATCTTCGTTGTGAGAGGAGAAGACCGTGAGGGCGAGGAACAACTTCAACACCAAGAAAGTAGTGAAGAGTGTCGAGGTCTTTAAGCGAGAAGCGACGAGCAAGGACCGAGATGAAGTCCTGGACTGATGCTGTATTGTTACCTGTGATGATGATGTCGTCAACATAAACAAGTAACATGATAGTTATACCTTTGTCGTTTAGAATGAACAAAGAGGTGTCGGCAACTGAGTTCAAGAAGTGAGATGCAAGTAGAAACTGGCGAAGTTCATTGTACCAAGCTCAAGGAGCTTGTTTGAGACCATATATTGCCTTTCGCAATTTGCAGACATGGTGTGGATTGTCAGCATCAACAAAACCTTGAGGCCGGTTCATGAAGACATCTTCAGTGAGTGTGCCTTGGAGAAAGGCATTGTTGACATCGAGTTGTCGAAGAACCCAACCTTGGCTGACAGTAAGTGAGAGGATAACACGAACTGTGGTTGGTTTTACAACTGGACTAAACGTCTCATGGTAGTCCACTCCGGGCCGTTGGTGAAACCCCTTTGCCACTAAGCGAGCCTTGTACCTAGCAATAGAACCATCAGGTAAACGTTTAAGTCGAAAAATACATTTTCACCCCACAATATTTTGCACATCATTGGGAGGAACCATTTCCCAAGTGCCATTTTGAACCAAGGCATCAAATTCCTCGGACATCGCCTATCTCCATCGGCCATCTTTGAAGGCCTGAGTTATACATGTGGGTTCAATTTCGGAGGCAAGTTGGGCCGAGAGGCTGAGTTTGGTGATTGGTTTATGAATATTGTTTCGGGAACGAGTAACGATAGGTGAGGTGCGGATGAAGGGTGTGAGTGATGGGATTTCTGAGACTTGATTAAGAATAGGTGGGGGTAAAGCCAAAGGGACATATGGAGACGTGCTACTAGCATGTGCAGGTATTGGGGTGGGTAGTAGGGGTGGTAAGGTGTTTGGAGAAGTAGGCGAAGTGTGAGGTGGGTCTGGAAAGGGAAGAGAGAGGAGTAGAGGCAAGTCTTGTTGTTCTACCATATCTGTTTGTGTGTTGGAGTCGACTGGCAAAGAGCCATTAGAACTAACTTCGGATGATGTGTATGAAGCCGGGAGAATAACATGTCGAGGAAGCCATGTGTCACATGTCAAGTCATCATGATGAGGAAGATGCGGATCAACTTTAGACATGAGAAACTCAGATTCAACAAATCGAACATGACGTGAGATGTAGACCTTTTGAGTACTGGGATCAAGACATAGATAAGCACTCTGAGTGAGGGAATAACCAAGAAAGACACAAGGCGTGGAGCGACTGGCAAGTTTGTGGGGGAGAGTAAGGATGAAGCCAAGGATAGCACAAATAGCCAAATGCTCAAAGCTTGGAATAGTTGGATGGCGACTCAAAGAGTTTATGATAGGGAGAGATCATATGAAGAATGGGTGTTGGAAGGCGATTTATGAGATAGGCGGCTATGGAGAAGGCATATGACCAGAAGGTTAGTGGTAAGGAAGCTTGAGAGAGAAGGGAAAGACTTGTTTCAACAATATGACGATGTCTACGTTCCGAGAAACCATTATGTTCTGGAGTGTGAGGTGGCGAGGTGAGGTGCGAAATGCCATGTATAGATAAATATGTGGCAAGACCAGTGGATTTGGCAAGACCCATATATTCCCCCCCATTGTCAGAGTATAATGTGACTATTTTCTTTTGGAAGAAGTTTTCAACAAGTGCTTTAAAACGAGGAAAAATAGTGGCAACATCATATTTACGTTTGAGGGGGTAAAGCCATATGTAGTACGTGAAGTGATCCATAAAAATGACATAGTATTTGTAACCATCAACATAATAAATAGGCGAGGTCCACACATTAGAATAAATATGTTGAAGAGGAGATGTAGACACAATAGATGACTGAGAAAAAGGTAATTTGTGACTTTTATTGCAGAAACAGTCTTTACAATGGATCTGCTTAGAACTAGAGGAATCTAAAGGTAAACCAAACTTAGAGACGATATGACGTTGGATTGACTGGGATGGGTGACCAAGACGATGATGCCAGGCATAATAGGACACTTTGGTACTGGTGATGACTGAAGGACGAGAAGTTAGGTGCGAAATCGGCAATTCATACACACCACCTTTAGGTTATCCTTCTAGCAATGTGGCCCCTATCAGTAGATTCTTCACACGAAAAAAAGATGGTAAGAACTCAATCGAAGTATTATTGGTTTTGCAAAATTGAGATATAGAGATCAGGTTTCTTTTCATGGCAGGAACAAATAAAACATCATGTAATTGAAAAGTGTGAGAGGATGTTTTAATAGAAGTAGAACCAGTTTTGGAAATGTGTAACCTAGTGCCATCACCGGTTTCGATATCATCAGGCCCGTCGTATGGAGCATGAAGCGAGAGGTTGCCGAGGTCAGCAGTGACATGGTGAGAGGCACCACTGTCGAGAAGTCAGGCCGGGGTTTCGACACCTGAGGTTGTGGCGACATGCGCCTTTGGGTGCCATTGAGATTCAGTGGGCGAGGAGCGAGTAGCACTGTGCGAGGGGACGGGTACTAGCTGAAAGAGGGGACACTGAGCAACAGTGTGGCCCTGTTGGCAACATCCTTGACACTTGCCGAGATATGGCCTTTGCTGGCGAGTCGTGGCCTGCGGAGGCTGAGATGTTGTTGTCGAGGAGTAGAGTGTGGAGGTTGCGTCTGGTTTGACGAGAAGTGGTGTGAACGATTGGACCTGGTCGAGGCAACATTTGCCGTGCCGGGTTGCGGGAAGGAAGCAGATTGCGACTGCTGAATAGTCAGTTCCCTGTTGATGAGTTTCTCATGAAGCTCATCAAATGAGATGGGAGTGTCCCTACCTTCCACTATATCTGCAATGTGACGATAGTCATCATCGAGACCCTCCAAGATCTTCTCAATGATGTCTTCATGGTCCATCGATTTACCGAGTGCAGTAAGTTGATCAGTTCGGCACCTGATATACTGCATGTAGTCCGAGATGGACTGAGATCCCTTCGTGGCTTTCTTGATATGGTCCTTGATTTTCTTTATGTGACCACGAGTCGGGCAAGCATAAGTGTTGGCTAGAATTTACCATGCTTCGCGGGAGGTGGCCGATTGTTGGATGAGTGGAACGAGAGAAGAGGAGATAGAACCGACAAGTGCACCAAACAACAATTTATCTTTTCGAATCCATGGGAGGAAAGCCTGGTTGGGAGCTTCAACATTGTTGGTGGTGATGATGCGAGGAGGACATGGATGAGTGTTGTCGATGTATTTGTAGAGGTCATAGCCGATGAGAATGGCTTCAATCTGGAGTTTCCAGGCAAGATAATTTGAGGAGGTTAATTTGATGATGGATGGATAGGCGATGTTTATGAGTTGAAGAGTTTGGGTAGGATTTTCTGGGTTGGGGATGGAAATAAGCTGAGGTTCAGTGGCCATGGTGATGTTGTTGGTAGGATTGGCGGAAGAGTGTTGAGAAAGGTTGAGGACCGACTACAGCGTGATACCATATAAAAACGTAAGAGTGAATGAATAATGACATAAACTTTTCATTGATGTTACGAGATATAAATAAGCTTACACAAGAATCAGTTTGTTACAACATAAAGATATCTATACTAAACTAATAACTAAAGAATATGTCAATATAGTTAGATATGAATTGAATATCCTATATTTTAGGAGAATGAGATAAGTACAGTTAAATATATTAATTTAAATCTCTATTACTTCCCTTCTCTCTAATGGGACTTGAAATCAAATCTTATTTGGTTGTATTTGGAAAGTTTTTGTCACCATCTTGTTAAAATTTTGAAAATATAATTGGATGACCAAAACAAGACAAGAGTAAAAGGAATATTTAATGTCAAAATTAACCCATAACAATTATTAAAATAGTCATTTAGACCTATTTTCTGAAACATTTTGGCCCTAACTTTTCATTTTTAGAGTAAAAAGACATTTATTTTAAAGCGTTAATCGTTTGTTAACTAACAGTTTTCACCCACAAACAAGCATTTTTACTCCAAAATAAAACGTTAAGGGTTAAAATATTCCAAAGAAAATACTATAGACTAAAATAAATATTTTAATAAATGTTAAGGGCTAATTTTAACATTATTCCAAAAAGAACTCCACTTTAAAGCCACTGATTGTATATATTAGATAACTTTCTCCCAACCCAATATAAAACAACCCGAATGGCTCAATGGACTCACATATTGGGCCAAGATAATAAGTATCATAGGCCTATAACGCCTCAAACCTAACTTTTATGGTATTGCATCTAAGACAGCATGTTCAAACACTAGGGTATATATTATGACGGGTTTAATTTCACTAAATTTAAAGGTCTTAAAAAGTAATTAAATCACGTCAATTTAGGTTAAACGCTTAACTCCATTAATTTTAAAAGTTACAATGACCTAAAAATAATTATACCAAAAAAAATAGGGAGGAATAAGGGCTCAATTATAATGATTTTATAATTATCAGTGACCTAAAATATAATTAGATCATCAAATTTGGGAGGGGTAAAAGCTTAATTATAATGATTTTATAATTATCAATGATCTAAAATGTAATTAGACCATCAAAGTTGGGAGGAGCAATTGCTCTTCCCGACTATGAGTACATCCGTCCCTAATGAAGTCCTCTGGGACCTCCTCTCTCTCTTTAAAGTTTTGTCGTCTCTTTCACACAATTCATTTTTTTCTCAGACCTGAAATTTACGGTGAACAACACTTCGCACAAATTAGAAAGAATAAATCATAAGTTAATAATTAAAATATTTTATTTTTGTATTAATCATTGTATATCACCACCTCACTCATTATACAGTACATGCATGCATTTGAATATAGTTCAGCTCATTCGCCTGCTTCCATGAATTTTGGAGAGTCTTGGTAAACCAATCATGTTTCCTTTTGATTACAATATTCCCAATCACTGTTCCCAATAGGAATCCACATCCATAGCCCAGAAATATTGCTATCCAATCCAATGATCCAGACCCTTCTGAACTAGTTGAAGATGGAGTTGGCAATCCTCCAGAATTAGTGTTACATTCTTTTAGCAATTGTTTTCCACACAACCCTGGATTTCCTTCAAAGGAACTACTTTGAAAAGTATCAAATTGGTATCCCTGTGGTATAAGCCCTGTGAGATGATTATGAGAGAGGTTGAGGAACTCAAGGAAATTGAGTCCAGGACTCAACTCCAAAGGAATTCTTCCCTCTAGCTTGTTCCTTGAAAGGTCCAAAACTTCAAGATTAGTGAGCTTCGCTATAGCTTTTGGGATTCCTCCAACTAGATTGTTATTCGAAAAATTGAGCAACTGAAGCTCTTTGAGATTCCCAATGGATTCTGGAATTTCTCCATCAAATCTGTTGCAGGAGAAATCAATGGCTGCAAGAGTCTTAATGATCTTTGGGTACTGCATTTCTGTGCCTTTGTTTGTGATTGTCATTGAGTAGGCATAAGTCCTGGGAACTTGCATGTCATTTATCGTCATATTTGAATTTTCAACCATGTAAGAAGCTTGTGAGTTTTTCCCATCTAGACTTGCCATGGTGATCCATCTTTCAAAGTAACCTGATGGCAGGGTTCCATTGAATCCGTTGTGGGAGAGATCGATGACTCGCAACTTAGGGAAGACGATGAGATTCGACGTAGCGTCCCCTATGGTACCATAAAGTGCATTCGAGGATAAAATAAGAATATTCAACTGCGGAAGTGACCCCAACCATGAAGGGAATGCATCCCTAATCTGATTGTTTCCAAGATCAAGATATTCCAACATTCTACACGCCATCAGAGATTTTGGAATCCCACCTTGCAAGTTGTTTCTTCCCAAATCTATCATTTTTAATCTCTTTCCACTTGTCCAACCACTAGGAATAGGACCCTGCAAGTTGTTGGACCGCACCCTCAATACTAACAAGTGCTTGCTGAAGTTGCTCAGACACAATGGGATGTTACCAGTCAAGTTATTCTGGGAAACGTCAAGAATAGAAAGAGAGCTGACATTGCACAACAGCTGTGGGATTTCTCCGCTGAGAGAATTGTTTGAGATGGAATAGAAAAGAGTAGACATGGGTGGAACAGGGAGTGAACCTTGGAGAATGTTGGAATCAAGTTTTAGATATTGTAGTTTAGACCAAGGAAGAACAATTGGGAATTCATCAAAACCGGTGAGAGAGTTGTTTGAAAGGTCTAGAAAAAAGAGAGTTTCAACGCTCACTTTGGACATCTATTGGGGTATCTGGCCCTTAATGTTGTTTGAAGAAAGATCAAGAAGCTGCAAGCGGTGTTGGTTGCGCAAGAAATATGGGAACTCTGTTAGATGGCAGTACCGCAACCCTATATCAACAAGCTGAGCACCGGTGGCATTGCTATTATTTCTAGAAACTAAATAGAAATCATTCTTTGACAGAAACAAATTTTGCAAATTCTTTAGCTCAAGAAATGTATCCATCTCCAGTATGCCACCCAATCTATTGGCGTCACAGTCGAAAAATTCAAGTTTCTCGAGTCGTGGGAGTGAGCTTGGAACTGATCCTTGTAACATGTTATGTTGCAGGTCCAAATGAGTGAGTTGGGTCAGGTTGGTCAGCTCAGGAGGAATAAAACCTGTTAGATTAAGATAAACAGCTAATTATTCTGCAGGGGCACAAGGGCAGAAGAATTTTATTCTGCAGGTAGCTGAACTCACCTGTAAAATAATTACTACCAAGATCCAAATAATCGAGCTTGGTGAGATTAGCCAGCGTCGGCGGTACTGACCCTGTGATGTTGCAATGAAGAAGAACCAGAAACTTGAGATTAGTGGAGATTACTCCAACTAAATAAATAAGTATTGGGATTAGTGGAAGGCAACTCACCCCTAAAATAATTGGTTGCAAGATCCAGGAACTTGAGATTGGTGAGATTACCCAATGTAGATGGCACTAACCCTGTGAAGTTGCAGTGACCGAGTCCCAAGAATTCCATGGAATCAAGGTTCTCAATTGATGCAGGTAACTCACCAGAAAAAGCTTGTATTCCACAACGCCAACGTTTTAAGATTGTTGCTGAAACTGAACTCTGGCAAGTAACCTGTGAGAACATGATTGTGTAACAGCCAAATAGTTTCAAGCTTGGGAAGCTGGAAAATGGCTGATGGAAACATGCCCTGCAGTCCACAACCCTCGAGATAAAGGGAGGTGAGCTTCGAAAAGTTGGCCGACACACTGGGAACCGGAGAAGCCATATCTACGTACGAGAGATGCAGCTTCTCCAAGTTTGTTAAATTCTGTATCAAATTATTCAAATCTGGCTCTTTGAGTTCCAACAACCTTCGAAAAGGGTTAAACTCTTGATTATTTGAGAGATCCAGGGAAGATAGCCTATAGAGCTTTGAAATTTCTGAGGGTATTTGACCAGAAAATACAGAACTAGACAGGTTAAGATAAGTGAGCATGGAAAGATTGCCCAATGCAGAGGGAATCAGAGAGTGATTGAAATCATTGAAAGCCAGGTTAAGCTTTTGAAGGTGAAGGAGGCGAAAGAGACTGTTGGGAGGAATTGATGGAGCCGTAAAGGCAACCACTGCTGAGGTCAAGGCCTATCACGACACCGGTCATTTGGTCACACTCTACGCCATCCCATGAACAGCAATCCACACCTTGTGAATCCCAACTATCAACCTTAGGATAAGAAGACGAAGTAGAAGAACAAGCATGCTTGTCGATGATGAAGCTCTCCTTGAACTGCATCAAAGCAAGACGCTCATCGCTGTGACAAAGCACTGATGGCTGCTCAGACGAGGAAGAAAAGGCAATGAATTGGACAAGAGCTACGATGAGAAGAAAGCATGAAAATGAAAGTGAAGGCCTCATAGTATATGTTGATTTTTCTTCTTCTTCGCTGTATTAGCCTACTAGGAGAGTGAAGAGCTTTTATAGACAAGTCCTTCGGATTCTGAATCACGTAACGAGATCAAGTATCGTTGGCTGAGAATGGCCAAACGTAGCCGTATATATGGGGGAAGACTTTTACCCCTTTTTGTCATTTTATAATGAAGGGTAAATTACGCGTTTATTATTTAAATTATTAGTTTTATCCGTTTTAATACCTAAACTTTTAATTTTTTCAAACTAAAGTTTTGGCCCTTTTATAACGAAACTAAAACTAAATGTAAGTATAGTTTTGAAAAATTGAAAGTTTAGGTATTAAAATGAACCAAAATTGATAATTCAAGTACTAAACTCATAATTTACCCTATAATGAAATCGTGGGAGGGATTATTTAGATAGATAAATATCAAAAGTAATATTTAACTTTCTATATCATCTTCATTTATTTTTGAAAAATCCTATATAAAAATTCTATTTGATTTAAATTTATAAATTATTAATACCATTATTTATATAACACTATTAGATAAATAAATATTTATATATTATATACATAACTATTTATATTTATTTAGTATGTAAATAAATAATTATATTTATTTTTACATAATTTAACTAAAAATAATGTTTCATGTGTATAATTATTATATTAATTTTTACTACATATAATTAAATTAAAATTAAAATATTGTGTATATAATTACAATAAATTAAAATTTATGTATTACACCAAATATTTATCAAATTTTACACTAAAAATTTAAGAAAATTCAAGTTAAGCACATACACTTTCATGTAACTTGAGTACTTTTCTAAATTTTCCACTAAATTATGATGGCATGTATTAAGTTATATAACCATAATAAGGCATGTAAAAATCTTATTCTATATGACATTGAATTTCACATGTATGTAAGTTATGATCTTATATTGATAAATTGTTATAATGTTTATAGTTTTTTTATTTCTGAGATACATATGTGTAGACACCCATTTTCTTAAAAGATACAACTAGCAAGAGTTTCTCTCCTAAGGGGACTCTTCCACCACCATATCTTTTAAATCAACAACTACACCAACAAACGTGCAACAACCAAGCAAGGAGTCTAGTTGCATTAGGATTCTATTGTTGATAGGATTCCAAGAATAGCTAGTTTTTTTTCACTATAAATACATGTAATCGTCCCCATTTGTAAGAAACGATTATCATACGATTTACACACGGGAGATACACAAAAGGAACGCCAGAAAAATACGAGCAAAGAAAAAGTGATTTCGAGGCTATTGTAAACGATTCGAAGTAATAAAGGTGAAAGTTTTTTTCCATTTGTCTCTCTTTACTCTTCACTTGCATACGTTGTTAATCGCGTTTTCTTTGGAGAACCCCAAAGACAAATGTTTTAGTCGATGACCCGGAGGGAATTTTTTCGAAACTTTGATTTCAGATATACGCTCCCTAGAGGCTATTTCGCAAAAACAAATTACATTTTTGGGATGAGAGTGCGAAAATCTAGCAAAAAATGAAAACTTTTTATTTTTTCTGGTTTTAATCTTCAATATTTTTTGACATTTGCCCACTTAATTTACATTCCTTTCATTTTAATCCCTTAATTAGCTTTTTTTATATATATATACATACTTGCTAATTTTATTTTTAATTTATCACTTTTTTTAATTTTTCTCTCTTTATATACGTTATTACCAATATATATATTTTTATTTTCTTTGCATTTTTATTATTACTATTATATTTATCATTATTTTTACTATTATATTTTTCTTTTATTCTACTTATTTATATTATATATGTATATTTTTTATATTTCATTATTATTATATATTTTCTTTACTTTCTCTTTCTTTTTATTACTCTTGTATTATTACTTGTATTATTTTTATATTATTTATTTTGCTATATATATATATTGTAATTATCTTTATTTGGTTTTTTTTTACCATTATATGTATATATGTTTTTTTTTCTTTTTCGTCATTTGATTTATTAATTTATATATATTTATTTTTTTTTATTTATTATATGTATATATATTATTCGTACTTTGTTATTGTTATTTTTTTATTTTGTTTATTTATTTTTTTTCTTTTTTATATATATTTATCTATTATTTGTTTTTTTTACTTACTATTTTATCTTTGCTTTCTTCATTTTATCGTTTTACTTAATTTGTTTTCTTTTCATTTTAATTTAATTAATTAATTAATTTCTTACCATTTTATCTAACATGGCTTTTTTACTTTAAAAGAGATATTTTCAAATCGAATTAGGGTAAGTAATTTTGGATCGTAATTTTACCTTTTCAATTTAAACTTTCAACTTTCTTAATCAAAGACAACTGGAAATTACGTAGTACCGAAAGGGCGGTTCAAGGGTGCTAATCCTTCCTTGGCCATAACCGACTCCCGAACCCGACATATCACTGGTACAACGCAGATCAGGTAAGATGGTGTCCGACCCACCTAAATTCGTTTTAAAGTGGTCGGTGGCGACTCCAATCCACATTTTTCAAGTCGAAGCCCAATTCCGGGGCCCAATCGAAAGACGGTTGCGACAGCTTGGCGACTCCGCTGGGGACACAGGTAAGTGAGTCAGGCTAAGGTAATTTCCAGTTGTCTTTTTAACGAAAATGGTAAGTTTAAATTTTAGGATAACATTTCGATCCTTATTGCTTACTTTTGATTTTTTTTTTCGAGTAAATAGTTGTACTGACCGTTTTTTAATGATTTCAACCCTTAAAGATTTTTCATCTAAAGGCTCTATACCCGAGCTCTGAACCCTATTTAAGTGGGGGTGAAAGCGACGCCTTCGTGTGAATTTATTCACCGTATGGGCCTAACAATTAGCCTTCGGGATTCATATACCTTATGCCTTCGTGTGAATTTATTCTCCGTATGGGCATAAGGGAATGTATCCTCCCGAGTTTAACTTAGTCCACACAAGCCTGTGACGGGTTTAGGATTAAGGGTCTGGCAGGCCCAAGGGGGCACCAGCAAGGAGAACTCGGGTACCGTTTTTTAGAACCTAACTCGGGAGACTATGGAGAAATTAAGCCTACCCCGAAACCACATTCTGAAACCTATGACGTTTTTTTAACCTTGTTGTTTTTGTCTTTTTTTTCCATGTATTTTACTTATTTATTTTTATATTATTATTTTACTAACCTTTTTGCCTTGGTGTTTGTTTTATAGCATTTTGCATCATAACAAGAGGTTACTGATCCCTGAAAAGGTGTTTATTACACAAAATAATCTGAATTAATGGACAAAGGTGTTGTAATACAAGAAACTAAGAACCCCGATGTACGACTATGGTCCGAGAAGACTCAGAAAGAAAAGGGAGACAACCTTCAAGGAAGCTATGTGTCAGAGCTGGTTAGCTACGCATCTATCAGCCTAAAACAGAACAATGTGCAGGAGCTTCGAGATATCTGGGACAGTTGGAAGGATGATCGGAAACAGAAGTTCAGGCAACGGTACGGTGACATTGCACTTTTACTTCATGTTAAGACTGATGAGCCATTGATCAGAGCCATGGTCCAATTCTGGAATCCGGGATACAGTTGTTTCACTTTTAACTGGGAGGACATGGTGCCTACTATCGAAGAATACACTACACTACTACACTGTGAAAACATCAAACTAGGGCGAGTCTACGTTAAGCACACCAAAAGTCAGCCTTTCAAGAGTACACTGGCCAGAGTCGCGGGAGTAGACGAGAAATGGGTAATTGATCGGACTCAGCGTAGAGGCAGCGGGGAAGGAGTTGAATGGATCCACATAAGGCAATTAATGAAGAACCACCCTGATGAGTGGAAGACTATAGACCTTTTCGCACTGGGTCTGTATGGTTTGATTATTTTTTCCGAAGGCTTTGGGGTGCATTGACGCAGCCGTGGTGGAACTATTTGAACAACTACCGAAACAAGTCAACCCAGCACCAGCCATCTTAGCAGAAACCTTTCGTTCTCTTAATCATTACAGAAGAGTTGGTGGAGGAAGATTCATTGGGTGTGTTCAACTCCTTCAAGTATGGATTCATAGCCACTTCTGGAAGACCAACGGGGTTGCCTACCGTCGATTTAGCACTACCTATTCACCTTTGAGAGAATTCATCACCATGAAATGGCATGAAGGCGCTTCAAAAGAGAAGTGGATGAAAGTCTTCACTCATCTTCAAGACCAAGATATTGCCTGGAGAGCCCCCTGGTTGTTCCTCAGTGATGTTCTTTTCCGGTGTGAGGGCTCTGACACGATGACCTTGCTAGGACTTTGGGGTGCAGTTGGGTATGCTCCATTGTTAGCACTGAGACAGTATGGGGCACGTCAGTTTGTCCCAGCAACATGCGGACTATCTGGATCAGAGTTTGGGTATCACGGTAACAGCTATAAGAAGATGATCAAGAAAGCAGGCGATTCTTGGAAGAAAAATATTCCGGATGGATATTGTAGCTGCCAAGAACATGCTTACCCCGGATTATGTGGAATGGCGAAGATTGAGGAAAAATGACAATATTCCGGTGCCAGACTGTGAGGACACCCGAACTATGGAAGAACATCTCAGGCCTGTCCCTTCTGAACTTGAGATAGCCAAGACAGAGTTTGAAGCTGTGAATAATGAGCTGAGGCAGAGGATAAAAGAACTTGAGGCTGAACGCTATCAGTGGAAGCTGGATGCCAACTCTCAGAAAGATAAAGCAGACAAACTGGAAAAGGAACAGAAAAGAGTCCGTTTCGAGCTCGAAGACTTAAGAAAAGGGTATCAAGATGCTGTCAAGGATAACTCCAAGTTGAAAGTGTCCTCTGAGTACTGGAAAGACGAAGCTCACAGCTTGAAAAGGAAGTTTGAGGGGCCTGATGAGAGAGCCTGGAAGGAAAAGATGAAGATTGCTCAGAGGCGCTTAGCAGACAGTCAACATCAAAACCAATGCTTGAGAATCCAGATAGCTGATCTGGAGAAACAACAT